AAATGCAACAGACAGAAGAAGAGCTTTTCGATCGCCCATACTAAAAGAGTTTGAAGTTTTTAATGTATCTTCTTCTATCGCACGCGCAGTACAAGTTTATTTGAACTCATCGAGTTTCCCGTTTCCATCAAATCAATAATTCTGTGTTTTGAAAATATATATTCAAAACTGCTTCAGTTGCGTGACCGAATAGAAGATACCCTGACCCTGCTCTAAAACCAAATGCAGCTCGCAATACGAAATACAAAAGTACAGGAGCTTTAAGACTACGACTTTAAATTGTTGTGTGAATTCAATTGGAATTCTTATTTATTTGATTTTGTGTGATCTTGATCTGTATTATTTTATCTGTATTTATTGAACGAGCAGCTACATGTCAAATACGTTGTTTATAGTTTAAAAACTTAACAATGATTTGAAAACGTATCGAATTGTTAATTAATGGGTTCAGGGTATATTTTATCAAATTGCTTAACCGTGAACACAAATGTACAGAAATGTATTTTTGTCGCTCAATATATCTTATGATAAACAAAAGTTTATGAATTCCCCTCTAAGTTAAAGTTTAATTTTCTTTTCATGAACGCTTTTAAATATTTAAAAAACAATTGATTGAACTAAAAAAAGAAAAACAAAGATTGCCAAACAGCTTCCAAATTAGAAATTTGACCAAAAAATTCATGCGAATTGTCCATAGTACAGTAACCGAGAGTATTGTCACTTAAACGGCAGTGATATTTTTTTGGGAATCAAGGCAACAACAGCTGGGTCACACATCGAAAGCGCTTCGATTGCTACAGCCAAGGATGTAGACAGACTTTCCACAACAATCGGAACCCCCACATTAATAAAAAGAAGAACGACAAAAGACTATAAGGGTCAAAGTAATTGGAAGCATCCTCGTTTACATAACCTAAGTAAATATGTATATATGCACATATCATCATGTACATTTATGTGCAGTATAATTCGCTGTTAATTGTCGGAAATGTCTCAACAGCAAATCAAAAAATGCAGTTAGATGAAATATTTTGATGTATGCTACAATTCAGTGGAGACACATCCGAGCCCCCATAACGATGTGTATTAGATCAGGTCGACGGGCTGAGTCTATCTATATACACATTTACGTTTTGTCTAGAAACGTAAATTTGAAAGGTATGTCCTAATATATCATCTATATCATATATCATATTTATATTATCATTTCACTTTGTAAATTATTTATTTACTTGATAGGTATAAGAAGCTGTGCCAATGTATCCATGTCTGCCCATCTCTGTATATGCCAACTAGTCTCTCGGCTTATTGCCATCGTCATGAAACTTTGCATAGGTTTAAACGTCTTTATCATATTGCCGCCATAGAAGTGATCGGTCACGCTACGCACAAGAGGCACTAGTCGGGAGTTCCTGAACACAGGATACCCTGAACCCTTTGCTACTTTAGCTTTAGAAGAATTAAAAATGAAATAAAAATAAGTTGCCTCTATTGGACTGGATACCCGTCACTGACTGAACTACTTGCCACCACCTCAACTCGACTGTACCAACAGCTCGCTCTCTACATATATACAGATATGCTTTCTTCTGCCCGTTACATACATATATATACGGTTCAGGTTTGTGCTGCAAGCTGCGCAGATGTGCCGTTGTCGATGCATGGTCAAATTATTGCCAACCCTGCATTGGGTCGTTGTGCCCTGCATCTTCCTAGCATCCACTTGTTACTTATTGCCCCAGGAACTAGGTTTACTAGGTTTAAAAAAAGGAGACAGCTGGGCATGTCCATCCTTTTAGAATTATCCAGACAGTGCATATGTACTGCATCATGCCCTAGACCTTTGTGGTCATATCTTATTTTGCTATGGAATGTGGAGTCGTGCAGACCTTTAGTTAATATTTTATGATGTCACTTTATCCTACAGTTGATACGTATTGAAATCTATGTCTTTGGATTTGAGGGGACTTTTTATTGCCGCCAAAGAATGTTCTCGGCTCAACTTTCCTTATATTGACATTGCTTAGATTTCTCAGGTCTCACAGCAAAGCCGGGTTGTTAATCCTGAACATGGTAATCGGTTGTGGATAGGCTAAATTATTCTACGCCAACGACAAATTCCGGGCATCTACAGTTACGAGTAGAATTTCCAAACTCGCTGACTTGCTTCATGTAATTCCTATGTTGGGCTTAGAAAATAAGTTTGATGCCGATCGCAAAGAACTTAAAACTCCACCCGCAGTTGCGAGTGGAATTTCCAAAATCCATAAAACACGTATTTATTTAATTTTTATGAAAGCCTTTGAAAATAAGTTTGAAGTGGATCGGACAGAACTTAAAACTTCTCCTTTATAACCTTCCACCCGCTTTTGTCTTCCAAGAGGGGCGGATTTTGCGAAAAGCGTAAATACACGTCTCAAATTAATTTTCACAAGATTTTTGAAAATGGCACAAGACAAGAAAAATGTAAATTTGTCGCCCTACACAAAACACGGATAAAGTCACGTCCACTGCGAGGCGATCAAAAGCAAACATATAGACATCCCAATTTGTATACCATATACTTAATGAAAATATTCAATACTTTCCAATTTTCAAATATATAGATAAAAAACTTTGAGACACATTCTCCACAATATTTACATATCGGGCCTTTCATGAAGATCTGACAACAAACATAGGAGTTATTCAACATTGCCTTGCAACTACATTTTATAATAACTGAGGGGTACAGGGGATTCTGTAGTCGAGCACACTCGTCTACATCGTTTTTACTTAATATAAATATGATAAAACAAATCTGAGTTAAAGTGGGATTTCTCCATGTAATTCCCAAATTAAAAACAATATTACTTTACCTGACATATCGAATTCCGAGTTCCAATTAGTTTCTGTGTTTATGAATTAGCCATTTTGTTTTTACCTTCGCAACTATGCCGAACATTTCTGGTTTTAATCATGGCACCACGTCCTTTTAACTGGCTGCTAAAGGCCCTCCTTTTACCATAATGATCACGCAAAGGGGTTAATTAAAATCGCAGCATATACGCACTGCACAAAATATGCAACAATGCAATCACAATTATAATTATATTTGTAGAACTAAAAAAAAACAGAGGCATACATACATATGTATGCATGTGCTAAATTATACAGAAATTCTTGACAAGCTTTGAATTTCAGTTAACCGATCTTGAAGAAGTCTTCCGCAGTATATCTTATAACGCCATTGAATATTAGGCAACATCCTTAAAATCGTGGCTATATTTCCAATTGGAATGTATGTAAGATTTATAATGTTGTAACGTTTATTTAATTAATAATTTCAACTTTACGCTGCTGCAGACCAAAACCGACTACTGGCAACAGATGACTTGTGCATATCGCCAGCTTATCGATATATCGTAATATGTTAATTAACAGGATAGTGTTAACTCCAGCCTTTACATGTATGTGTGTACATATCCATTATATTTTTATTTTGACTTGATCCATACTTGACCTGTGTGTTCCATACTGAATCGTTCTACATGTAAAATTTGGCCCTTAAAACTGGCACCTCAATAAACAAGATTTCGATATCGATTCTTATCGATAGCATGGAAACAGAGAAAGTTTCCGATCATTTGATGAATAAACTAACACTACGCAGGCACTTGGAGGACCATGTAGGTTTTGAGATCGACCAGTTCATACATGCGAGCAGAGGGACATAGATAAATACACTGACCCAAATATATATATATATATATATACTTTTTTTCGTATCGTAATTTGTGTGTATGGCCCACTGTGCAGAAAACAAAATATTACCAAACATAATGCTCTAATATCTAAGTGTGTGTGTGTGTGTGTGTATGTGTCTGTTGTGTTATAAATATTTTTATTTAGAGTCAACGCTCAGATCCCGCATTTATTTACCTTCCCATTGTTTTGGTTTCATATAGAATTTTTATTGTGTAACATGAAACAATTTCATTCGTTTGGTTTCGAATTGCATCTGACAGAGACAATTTTACTGCAGAGTCTGCAGCTGCTGCTACTGCGATAACACAGTACCTCCTTTGTCCTCCCCCTAACTCCGGTGCATTAGCACAACTAATGATGACTGTGGAATTGCATCCAACGCGGTTGTAGCCTTCTACTCGGTCCTTTTGCTTTATTCGCCCCGTCTCCGCCTCTCTTTCCACTCTCCCCACCTCTCTCTCTCTCTCTTTCTTTTTATCTCTACCTCTCTCTCTCTGCGCCCTTTTATATGCTAGCTCTGGACGTTGATGATAGACCATTGCATTAGCGCGGTAGAGCGCAACATAATGTCGTTGTGCACTTTCCACAGCAATTGCTACGGCAGCCATGGCGTTAACGGAGACGGAGATAAAGGCAGGGAGTCTGCAATGGAGCTTATGGTTGAGGCTGTAGCTGCAGCCTAGGCCCGAACATTTCTCGTTCCGTTATGTGGATTTTATAATTACGTGCGCTGAGTGCGATTATTATGATTGTTTCTTAATTCACGGATTTACAATATGTGTGTGGGCGAGAGTGTGCTTCCACACAATAATAATTATATGTGCATGTATGTATGTATACACACATGTATGTGTGTGTGTTTGCTGGGATGGTTAATTTTGAAGTCGCTTCTATTTTATTCTAACTTTATTCCTTCTTTCACTCGACGAATAATATGAAACTCTTTTAAATCCCTCAAAGCTGCGAATATCGCTCTTTGAAGTGTGAGTACACAAATGTGATTATATGTGCATGTGCATTATTCGCGCGTGTTCCAGATTTCAATTCCACTTAAAAATTAAATTCCGAAGCATTTTGACTTTTTTCAAATATTTATCGTTATTTTATTGTTTTATCAGAGTAACGCACAGAAAATGTCGTTTTTCACTTTATTCAGGTAAAAAAAAACATACATACTATTGTCTTAAATGCAATTGCTTAAATTTAATACAGCCCAGCTTATAACAATATTTGGCATAGACTTATAGAAGAAATATTTATGATATAAATAATTAATATATAAATGGTAGACTTAACTTTCAGTACTTACATAAATGTATATACAGGCATTTCTGAAAAATGTTTGTATGCTTAAATTAACTATGCTATGCAGCAAAATGTTCTGTCTTTAGCAACCTTTTTACGTTGTATTTCTAAGAAATCTTGAAGATTTTTTTTCAGCAAGTAAACAATGTGATTCTGATTAGAATCCCAGGCGAGTTTTTTAAAAAAAAAGATAGGGTAATAGCTTGTATAACAATTCTTCAAAAGAACACCAACAAATCCAAATGTTTTTTGTTGAGTTTTGATTTCAAGCTTAAGAGAAGTATAATATTTGTCCCAAATCCTGACAGAGTCAGTCATATATATGTTTACATGTTCTTATTCTTATAATTTAAAAATAACAACTTTTGCGACTTAAAAATTCCGAAGTTTTGTCAATTATCAACATATAATCTATGTTTTTGTAGTTTTGGAACCTGCATCGACTTGATGCATTAAGAGCGGAGACATTATGCTATATCCATCTGGCGTGGTAGGGGAAAAGGAACCATTACTACTGAGAGGCACACTTACCGCACCAGATTCGCCATTTTCTACGAAATCTGATAATTTATCATCGCTAATTGCATTAAATTCTAGCGTATTGCCAGAACCTTTCTTTTGTGGAGCAAAAATGTCCAATTTGGATTCGTGATTTGGTGGTGAAATCTTACGGCAAGTCGGTAAAAGTTCCACTTCGTCGCAATCGGACTCTGGCAAGTGAACCGCCGTCCCGGGAAAGTCATGGGACGGAGTCAGCAGTCGCGGATAGGTAGATATATAATCAATGATCTCCAAGGCTGTGGGACGCTTACTGGCATCCTGGCTCCAACAAGCCTTTAGAAGACCCTCCAACTGTGGCTTGACACCGCTCGGAATTTGCAGAGTATTGCCAGCCTTTACAAAGTCAAGAACCTGATTGTTTGTCAAGTCCTGATAGGGATACGATCCAAATGAAATGACTTCGAAAAGTACAACCCCAAATGACCAAATATCCGAAGCATGCGTAAATATACCCAATGACAGCGTTTCCGGCGGCATCCAGCGCACTGGGAACAGTTTTCGGACACCTTTTCGGTTATAGCAATAATAATCGCTTTCAAAAGTCGGTCTGGCCATGCCAAAGTCGCCTATTTTAACGATTCGCTGAGAATTAACCAAACAATTTCTGCACGCAATATCACGATGCACATATTTTTGCTCGGCAAGATATGCCAAGCCCCGGGCTACGTCCATGGCGTACATGGTCAGCCGTTTTGATGAGATGTCAGATTCATCGGTTATTTTTTCATTAACCATGTTTCTTCTGGCCAAAAGGTAGGTTCTCAAATCGCCATATAGCATGAACTCCATTATCGTATAAATTGGCTCGCTTTGCAAACAGACGCCCAAAAGTTTTATAATATTTTTGTGATTCAATTTCTTCATAGCTTCTGCCTCGGCCAAGAAATCCAATCGGTCCTCGGTGGCGCCCCCAGCCTTGAGCGTCTTTACGGCCACAGCTGTCCAGTCGTCCGAGCCCAGCCGGGCTTCCCCGCCGTAGACCGTGCCGAATGCGCCCTCGCCCAATCGCCGATTGACCACAACGTTCTCCTTTGGCACCTCCCATTTGTCCAAGGTATTGATTTTATTACGCGATGGAGAAATTAAGTCGATGCCGAACATTTTCATTATCTGCGCTGATCGCCGCACTTTGCGGTCATATCGCTGTTTCCAAAAGTAAAACGAAACTAGGGACATCAGCACAATTACCAGCAGGCACATGGAAATGCTGAATATCATCGAGGACACCTCACAATTCACATGCAAAAAACGGGCTAAGCCCGAAAATCGACAATCGTATCTGCCATCTTCTGGCACCTCACCCGGAAACACTCCACTTGGCAAACGTGTTAAATTTCCTCCGCTTATATGCACGTTTGCTCCTCTGCCCTCAACTTTAGGCTTGAAATTGGCAACTTTCACGTAAGTTCGATTTTTCCATTGTAAAATATCCAGATCAATTATACGTGAGCCACCGAATTCGCCTTCTCCGAATCTCACGTTGCCGGACAAACCATCAAAATTGGTCTCCCAAATGCGTTTGGCGAACTGGCTAGCAAATTCCTTAGATCTTAGTTTGTTAATTGCATACGAATCTGTCTGCAATAATTTATGTGCTGCAATAGCATAGGCCCATATCGCATCGTAAACGAATCCAACATAATTCGAAAACTTTGGATACTCGCTCCTATAAGAGCTCAGCCAAGAGCTTATAGAAATTCCCTCCTGCATTTTTGCATTTGGCGCGCCGAAAGGCGTGTGCCTCATACTAAAGTGGCCTTCGATCGCCTAAATTTAATTAATATTTAATTTGAATTTAAATATTATTATCATTTGAAGTCTTTAACAAGAACTACTTACATTTCGCAGCTGCTCGGCCGTGCATCGATTGCTCACTTTATTGCTCCACATTTGAAAGTCCTTCGAAAGCCATGAAGGCAAAAACCAGACATAATTTTCCACCTGGGTCATCTGCGAGGCAGAATATACAAATGGATGATTATTGATTTGAAGAAAAAAGAACGAATAAGAGAACTTACACCCAATTTAATAGCCTCGCACACGGCAACAGCAGCATTGCCGCTTTGAAGCTCGGCTATAATGATCCTCGAGTGAGCTTCTTTTAATTTACCCAAGTGCTGCGAAATATATAGTATATAATTTAATTAACATATTAAATTTGGGTGTGTTTAAGCACGTACCTCTCTCATATCGGCAGCTGTGATATCGCTTTGAACCTTCCGACTAAAAGCCAGCGTGAAATTATGAAGTCTTAGCTTGCTCTCCAGGCGCGACATATACTCCGTGTATTGTTGGCTGTCTTCGGTCAGAGTCGAGACCCGAATCCAGCCGAGTTGTTGCATTATTTCTATATACGCATCAACATATTCGCTATTGGACCCAATGGTGCGAAAGAAGTACGGATACGCATTTCGATCGACAAACGAAGCGCCTTCCGCCGAATACGACATCACCATCATATTCAAATGTTTCGAAATTCCAGCTATGGGCTCCACAGTTTCGCTGCAGGCAGGTCCCAATACGCCCAGCATATTGGGTACATTGTAATAATGTATAAATGCCTTCATCACCATATCCGACTTGCACTGTCCGTCGTTAATCATTATTTCCAGATGAAAGTCTGGCAATATTGTTGTATTTCTGTTGATTGCATCGACTGCTTTTTGCGATGCCCCAATTATATTCAAATGTCCGCGATCCGTGATATTGATTGGGAATATGCCACCAATCGATAAGGTTGTCACCTTTTTGGGCAGTATCCAGTTGCCGTATGTCTTATTATTCTGTCGCAGCCAATTGCAGGCAACATTATCATAAATTACTTCAGTATCCATTGAATTCATTCTCTGAATACTCAAGTCCTTTTGAATGTTCTCGAGGTCCTTGTCTGATATGTAGAATGCCCGAAGCGCATGCATCAATTGTCTATCCGAAGACAAGCTTCGTGCGTAGTATTTGAGAATCGGAGTTAGTTCGTATCGGCAATTGGAGCTTTGCAAGTATTTAAAGTCTTCGCATCTGGGCAATGTTATTTGGGTGAATTTTATTTCGGCGTCAATTATTTCCGACGGTACCCAATGTAAGACTATAAATCTTTTTTGTCCCTGTGGGTAATCTGTCTCATATATTTTGGCCAACTTCGTAATCGTATCTTTGAATTCGAATCCCAGCCAAATAACATTTAGAAAGCTCTCCGTCAAATGATATTCAATAAAATATGAATCATTGCGCCATTCTGCCAAAAGCGTAGCGCATTTGATAATGGCACAGTTCGGATTTATATATTCCTCAACACTATAATTAAGAAATAATATAAAATATTATAATATAATATTAGTCATTAAGTAATTTCAAATTATTTTTCCTACCTTCTATTTCTCAGTAACTGAGTAATTTTTTCATCCAATGTGTAAAGAGAATAATGTTCATTATTTATATCTCTGAAGACCTCGTAATGCAAGCTGCAGTTCTTTGTGTCAGTCGAAATTTGTGATTTGGGCACAAACCAACTAAATCGACCCGGAGTTATAGACGCTCCGGCACTGAAGATGTTGTCGTGCGAATTCTTATATACACTGTAGGGCATCCACACCTCCAAATTGATCATAGCTATATTATGTAACCGTTTGTAGCTCCTAGAACGTCATAAATAAAGGTCATATGTTTACATTATGATATCGAATGTTTTGTTACCTTACATAATCCAATGTGTACAACGGATTATGAGGATCCGATGCATTTGTGTAATGTATGGGAATGATTTGAACATCTTTATAATTGAGAACCTCCGTCAGAAACATATAAAATATGCGCGTCATCACCTGATGCGTCGATCTATTTGTCACCTGAAGACCAATACCAAATCCCATAGCTGTATCAATTGTAAAGCTATCTAAAAACAAGTTCAGCAGAATTATGGTCAGTTTACGCAAAATATAATAGTATTAAGTAACATTTAATTATCTTAATATTTAGTTAGCGCTGAAATGCACTCTAAAACTAAAATTCAAATGCTTATTAATAGTTTTTAAAGCTGACATACTTGTGCTCTGTAAAAGATGTTTAGAAAACAATCGAGAAGGTAAGGTATTTCATCGAAGATTTAATACCCATGTAGACATTTGAAGATATGTAAGAATATTAAAGCTCGAAGTTGAGTTTAATAAAAATATCTTAGAAAACATAATATAGACAGATATATATAGACTCACTTTTCGACAGATAGTTTCTATAGCACCTATATTTTATGTTAGCCCTTTGTTGATAAGAACTTACATTCATGTTGGGTACATAGTGGAACCTATAAATGGCGAGTTTTGAAAAAGAAAAACTTTTCCATACAAGTGCTTAATTTTCGCCCGATCGCTCCTATAGCAGCTATATGATATAATGATAATGATCCAATGTAGATAAGATTTTGTATATATGTAGGGAGCATAGTGAAACGCATAATTGAAAAGTTTGGTCAATATATCTTGAAAAACAAAAACTTTTTCAATAAAAGTACTCAATTTCCGCAGCTATAGGATATAGTGGTCCGATGTTGATAGAATTTTGCATATATATGAGGATCTTATTGAATCTAATAAATGCCGCGTTTGCTCAAGATATTTTGCTAAACAAAATAGTTGTTCATATAGGAACCTACTTTTCGACCGGTCGATTCTATGATTTCACATAATATAGTTGTCCGATCCGGCCGGTTCCGAAATATGTACTGTCTGAAAATTTTGAACATTGACGGCGTAAGCTCTTTAATAATGACTGCTTACTCGAAAGAGAACACATTTATTCTTGTCTACTATCAAGTAAGTTTTTTCAGCGCAATAAATAAATGGTAAATAGAAAGATAAAATAGATTTCCAGCTAAAATTGAATTGTAAACAGACAGAATTTAACATAATTAATATAATATATACAACGCAATTAATATAACATAAACAAAATTTTAAAGAAATGCAGAGTATAAAAAATAAATTACGTCGTTATCAGAAACTCTTGTCTGTGCAATAATTTGTGTGCAATTGCGCGATTGAAGGGGCTTGCGTCAGCAGAAAAATAATTAACTTACACAGCAAATCTGTCTTTGGATTTATTTGCGTGTAATTGATTAATTCATTCACACGCCCAACTATATATAACATCAATACGCCCAGATATATTTCTTCCTTTTGGGAACACAGTATCAAATACCTCGTCTCTTAAGGCTAATCGATGTCAAAACGGACACTGACTTACTATACAAATGATTATACTTATTATATGAACACCAAATTGTAAATATACTTGTACTTACTATTGGTTTCAATACATTTATTGTGTGGTTCGCTCTGACAGGGTTGACACATCATGACAAGAATAACTCCTTGGATGAAGAACAAATGTTTTTGCTTGAAATGCATTTTGAGGCAGCTTTGCAATAATCGTTGTCAGTAAGCAATTTTCACACTGTGGAAGAAAATATTTGATTTATCGATTGTTAGTTATAAAATATCAAAATCATCATAAGAGAAGTAAGATCTTTCAGATCTTCCGACAATTTTAATACTTGTATTTGTTTTCGATTCTTCTCCGATATTCTTGGTAACAAAACAGCCGTACCCTTTGGTACATACGTCTGTATAATTACAACAATCTCGGAAAGTAAGAAAAGCTAGAGACTAAGCTATTTTTTAATAATAATAATAATAATAAATAAGTAGAAGTTCTCTAGTCAGGAGTGCCCGACTAGAAAATACCTCAAGCCTCAAGCCAAAAGCAACTCCAGCTAAAAGCTCACTCACTTACGATTTAGCCAAAACAATGCAAGTTTTTTCCTAATTAATATAATTGATTATAATATAACTATTAATATTAAAAATAAAAAAAATAAAAATAATTTTCAGCTGCTGGAATTAATCTTTTTGTGGCACTAGCCGCAACGTGGTTTGCCAAAATGATCACACTTTTCCTTTAATAACTTTTGTTTTCCGAAGCCCTTCTTTATTAAATTTTCTGGACTAAATCTAAGTGTGCCACAAAATGTTCGTATGTTCATAAAAAATACAACATGCAATTTAAAACTTATTGTATTGGATTTTCTGACAGTTATCGATGAAACGCATTCGTACTGCGCGGGAATTGACAGAAAAGCAGTTATGGCTAGCTCACCTGGAAGATGCTTCTTTCGGCGTGTTACATACCCTTATACCCTTTTTATCTATTTTTAACAAGTACAGGATTCTAAAAAGAAGTCTCACTAGAGACAGTGGGATGCTCCCTAAGTGTGAAAGAGTTGATCAACCTCTTTTATAAAGGAGTACAACTTTGGAAGGAGCCCCGATCTGAACTGGAGAATCAAACACTTTTCCTCCTATCCAAAGTATTTGTCAAAATGATATTTGACTGTTTAGGAAAGCGAAAAAGTCTTAAGTAATTTCTTCGAAAATTTCCATTTCCTAAAGCTATTGAGGGATGCTAAGGTTATCGCGATTCCTGATTTGGTGGAAGCCCCCGGGATTCCACACAAGGGGTCTAGGTAAATTCGAGGGGAGCCTCAAGGGAAGCATAACCTAGATGGAAAGACCGTGGTTCAGATATACTTTGCAATAGAAGTTCTACTGCTAGGACCCTAATTCCCTGAAAATGCTCTTAAATTAAAGTTAAGTTAATTAAATTTGTTAAAATGTTGTATAGACGACAGCTTAATTGTTCGGATTCAAATGACTATATAATCGCTAGTATAAACTTCTGCTACAAGGTCAGTTTTGAAGCTAGTAACCCATTAGTTAAATCTCTGTCAATTTTAAGCAGTTATTGCACAGCGAACAGAGTATTGCGCGGATATTTGCAACGCCTTTAAAGTTCTTTAGCTTTGTCATATCATGTTATTGTTGTGACGAATAGAACTCAGGAAAGTTTTTCGCACTCTAGCAAGCAATATAATTACGTTTATTGCACCCTGAACCCATTGAAAATGGGTAAAAAAACAAATGCAAGAAACATCTCCGATCCCAAATATACTCTTGATCAGAAGGGCGAACTGAGTCCATTTCTGTCTATTTGCCTGTCTGTCTATATGAAGCTAGATATCTAAAATTTGAACTTAATATACAATATGTCACTTAATAAATCCAATTAATGAATAAAGATGTTGAAAATTGGATTTAAGCTTTGCTCTTTAATTAAAGGGTATGCTTGGTATGCTCTAATGAAAATACCTCGCCCCATTGTTCCCCAATATGGGAAAAGAAAACTTCTTCAAATTAGCTATAGATGTTATTTATATACACGCATATGTGTGCCATAAATTTGCACTGAAAATCCCAAAAAAAAAACACGCGGACTATAAGCACTAAAGCTATGCATATAGAAGAAAAGTTGGGGGCCTGGAGCCAAGTGCAAGATATCTCTTGGTCGATCACTCCCGACGAAAGAAATATAGAGTATATTGTTTTCATTATTATTTGTAGCTTTTGACATTTGATTAGGTGTGACCCAAACGAAATGATTCTTTCCGTCGTAACTTCGCTTTACTCGTTAAAAATCCAACAAAATCTTTTTAAACATAATTGATATGGCTCAAAATTGTGTTCGATTCAATTTTATTTATTTTGTAAACAACAAATTCGATCAGCATTATGAAGAAAGTTGTGCTTTTTTCTCCATTAATTAATGCGTCGCTTTTTTAATTATATTCTTTGATGCAATTTTGTGCAATATGCGATCTGAGTTTTTGGTCAAATAAAATAACTTAGAGAGCTTTACAAACTTTTATGTATTTGTTTCACCAAAACGATTATGGTCGGAGCTCGCATAGAGAACGGTCAAGAACTGCAAATAAATTCCATATTTTGGTTCAGTTTCAGCTAATAAACGCCCACAGACGAGTTCTTAAAATAAAGCTGGAAAGAATGCTTATAGCGAAACGTTTTGTCTTTTTATATATTTATATTCAATTTTACACATAAACATCTACATATAATATAAGTATTAACATAATAAAAGCTGTTTTTATTTATTTATTTGAATAGACACTTTTGAAAACAGTTCATGTGACTAAAATTTTGCTATACCGCATTTAATTCATAAAAATATATATATAAATATATATACCTTTTTTTTTTGTTAGCAGTAAATTTAAATATTATAGAAAAATATCGTATCATATCACTTAAAAAAAAAAAAACTTATTAAATGCACCTTATTTCGTTTTATTGCCAGCTGTTTTGTGAAACATCGAAGCACTTATTTTGGGGCCGAAGCTGTTTTACTTTAATGTAAAAAATGCAATAACATTTTTATATTGTTTTTAATTTTGTTGTATTCACTCTTCGTATATGTTTTTAGAAACATTTATTGTATATATACGGAAAGCATTTGACACGGTTCGGTATGTTGCCCGATGAAAGCTCGATATTGTACTGAAACTGAAAATGTAAAACGCAAAATAATAAACGGTCTATGCGAAACAAATTCAAGTTTCATATTCGACTGTCTGTCACCAGTCCAAGTTCATGAAAAACAACAAAAATATACTCCACGTTCTCTTGCTCGGCAATTACAACGAAAAACAAGTAGGTGTGTTCTAGTCGGGAATGCCCGACTAGGAGATATCCTGAATCTTCTCATACCAAAACTAGCCGTAGCTAGCAAACAATTTTTAACCTACATAATGGGCGAAGAGATGTAACTAACATTATTAACATTAAAACAATTTATAGATATATTTTTCATAGACTGGGTCAACCGATCCTAAGGCCCTACCAACATTTGTATTTCTATAGAAAAAAATTGTCTGTGAATCCAAAGAGTGTAACATCCTTCATATTAAGCCAATTCAAACTTATCAAAACTTATCATTTATGTACTTCAAATTTCATGGAGATCGGGAATGAGATCGGGAATGATTCCTTCTGACTGTTGCCAAAACTTTTGAACAAACCTATCATACCCTTTTTAGCCATTTACAATGTGTTCCAGGGTATAAACAGAAATTCAGCTGCGACGGAGAGAAAAATGCCGCTATTACAAATGCTGAAGTATTAAAAGTATCAAATGAATTTATATTTTGCATTTAATAGCAAATGTAAAAAAAGAGCAATGCAAGCAAATTTTGCAAAGATAAACAGATATTACTTAAACTATATTCGCGTGCACTCACATGTGCACTTACCAAATTGAGAGAGAGAAAACCAAAAACATACGAACTCATTTCTGTGGTATATTATAATCTTAACCTCCGTATAAGTATGCCGCTTTTAAAAGGATAAAAATATGTTTATTTGTTTTGTGTAAAGAAGTATCTCAAAAGAAGATTATCTGGATTGCGCTAATATTAAAGATCTTGAAATTTTGAAAATATAATCCCTTCTATAATTCCAACAAGCCTTTTTTTCTTTGTAAGTTATTCCCGAATCTATTTTCGGAAGAATAAAAGAAAGTTTAAATGTTCCTGACGGAAATCTGGAGCTATGTGCTAAGTATCTCCGTCGAGGAATCTTGGTTTCTAATTAGTTGATTTATCTCAATAAAGCAAGCCAAAAGCATGACCTACGCTAAAAATATTATTTTTTTTCTTCAGCTCTTATAGTCGACAACGCTCCCCGAAAATAAATGAACGGATAAAAAGCGCTGGTACCTAGAAGAAATTAAAAATCCGCTTTAAATCTTAACTTTACCTGATTTATGGAGTAGCCAAAAAGCTTAGACTCAAAATTTTTACTTTCTTTGGCCATATGGTAATCTTCAGTCTATCCTAATGACCTCATCAAGCCACGTAGTCTTTACTGACTCAAAAACAATTATTATTTTTTCTAAATAATCTACAAATTGTGTTTTTAAACTTATTAAAAACTGTTAAAAAGGGTATAATTTATTTGTAACAGGCAAAAGGAAGCATCTCCGAGCCCAAAAAGGCATATATATATTCTTGATCAGCTTCAATAGCCGAGTCCATCTAGCCATGTCCGTCTGTCCGCCCGTATGTATGAACCCTAGGTTCTCAGAAACTATAAGAGCGTAGGTTTTCTTAGTGCCCGCTTAGTACGAGTTTGTTTCCGATAATCGATAACTTGCCCCGTTTCCCAGCAATCGATCAAAATCGATATCGAAATCCTCTTTTTATGGGCAAATCTCGTAGGTTTAAGGGCTAGAATAAACAAAATTGACATGTGGCTTCTTGGCATATGGCATATCATACAAGAATCAAATTTGGTGTTGTGGTCCGATCCGGCCGGATCCGACTTACATATGTACTGCCAGCAACAGAAAGACGGCCATATGAAAAGTTGAATGGCAATAGCTTTAAAGTTGACATACTAACTGGCTTAAAAAGGACAGACGCACATATATACAGCTTTATTTTGTTTTTATATGAAATAGTTTTTGATTTTAACTCTGTACATGTCTTAATCAAACTCTGGTTCGCTATTATCTTTACAAATCTCCAACATCTCGTTCCCTTCGGACTTCTGTATGATAAATATTCTTTATAAATAATCGATTAGAAATTGAGTTTTTGTATAAAAAGCATTAAATATAGAAATAATTCGCAAATTTACTTCTTTTCTGAAAGGGTGCAAGGGTCTTCGGCGTGTCTTATTATTTTTTCTTGTCTATGTTTTTTTAAGAGTTCGATAGCTCGCTGGCATGAAACAAACAAATTGCTCGATATATAATATCGCTCTGTTATTACTTAACAGAAGGTCGCAATGTTGCTCTTTCTTGCGTTAGCAGTGCCTCATTTTGCGCTTAGATTCCATTTCGAATGAAACAGTATAGTTTTGTGAACAAACAGGAATTAATTTATTTTATAATAGTAGCATGCATAAGCATTTGACTTTTTCTATAATTAACAAATTATAAAATGGACAATACTCTACCAGACGACGCCTGGATGGACTCTTTCGACAGATTATTAGACCGCAGACCGTATGTCGTACAACGTTGAAGGCATCATTTGTTATGCCACTTAAATTAATATATTTTAATTTTAGGCAACTACGGGAACGCAATATAATTAAGAAGAATGTGCGGGCATCATTTAATATTGACTCTAGCGTTGAGAATTCCAATCCAAACATTTTGAGCGTCACCGAGTGCTCCTGGCAAAAGCCGAAAACAATGGATGCTGCTGATGAGCTAAACATAAAGAAGCGGGGCAACTCCATCTCAACTCCTTGCGCGAAACGCCTGAGCTCAAACTTGTTTCATTGCGCATTATCACCAATTACTGGCATGAAATTAGACGGATTACAAAATGCAGATAATCATAAATTGAGTGGCACCGGTAAAACTACAAGACTCAATTTAAGTGGTAATTTAAATATTTTTAATTGTATCTTGCAGAAAAAGAGCAACCGCGGAGGACCGTAAAGCAAGTTTGCTTTGAAGTGAATACATTAAGTCCTGAAAAGTCCAGTGACTCGATTGTTGAGAATAAACGTTTAAGGTTAATGCTACCCAAAAATGCTTGTAGACAAAGCCGATCTTCACTTGTCCTCCAGCCGGGAAAATGGCGCAAGTCTTTGATCAGCTGGCGACGAACATACTTAAACGAGGTGCCGCCTGGGGTTTTGAGCCCAAAGCAATCGTTTCTACCGAGGGCTGTTACTTCGGAAGGTTTGGGAGCCATTCATATACCCCAACGAAAATCAGTGCACTTTAGCGAAATTTCGGAACCGAACAAAAAAATCAACTACGAAACAGAAGTGTTGAAGTACTGTGGTCAGACCAAGCCGTATAAATTTGGTAGAGCTTATGCAGCTGCCAAAATGAGAGATCCTTGCAAGATTGGCGAAGGAGTTTACGGTGAAGTATTTAGGTATGCACAAAAAAATGGCTCAAAAACTGACATAGTCATGAAGGTGCTTCCGATTGAGGGTACTGCTTTAGTTAATGAGGAAATTCAAAAGACTTTTGAACAAATATTGCCCGAAATTATAATTTCTCAAGAGCTGAGCAAACTACAAACAAACCAAACTAATTCGACTGCAGGATTTGTGGATATTTACAACGTAAGAGCTTAAATATCTATAATATATATCTAATATACACAAATAATTATTTTTTTCATTGCAGGTATGCTTAGTCAAAGGGAAATACCCGAAACATTTATTAAGCCTTTGGGAAGAATATGACGCGGAAAAGGAGTCTGAAAATGACCATCCTAAAATGTTTACTGACAACCAGCTCTTTATAGTTTTGGAGCTTAAGTTTGCGGGCAAAGATATGTCAACATTTACCTTCTTAAATGCCGAGCAGTCGTATTTTTCACTGCAGCAGGTAAGTTAATATTGAAATAGTAGTTAACGTGACTGTTTTGTTTTTTTCGATATGTCAACATTAGATCATATTAACACTAGCTGTCGGAGAAGAAGCCTTCCAGTTCGAGCATAGGGATTTACATTGGGGCAACATACTAATCAAGAAAACAGACAAGAAGCAAATCGATTTTAAGCTTTGTGGAAGGGACTTGTCGGTTGCATCAAAGGGAGTTAAAATAACCATCATTGACTATACATTGTCAAGAATAACTGTTGCCGAATGCTGCCACTATAATGACCTCTCCCAAGATGACGATTTATTTGTGGCTACAGGTGACTACCAATATGACATTTACCGCATGATGCGAGATGAGCTAAAGTGAGTATTACTAAAATGATATAACAAAGTGAACATGAGAAATGAAAAATATTTACTTATTATACTTTTAAAGAAACAATTGGTCATCGTACTCTCCAAAGACCAATGTACAATGGCTATCATATGTTAATGCCAAAATGATCGATGGCGTCAATTACAAAAGTGTCAACACGAAGGCACATAAAACTTATATGCAGAAGCTGAAAGCCTTTAAGAAAATCATCCTGACATTTGACAGTGCTGTTGATTGCGTCCGACACCTGTATAGCTTTAATTAGATCCATTTTAGTTTATTTATTTTTAAATTCTTTAAGACATTTAATTATATTTTGTATATTCTTTATTCATACTGATTTGTTTATAAAGCATTCAAATGAACGAACAAGCTTTTTGTCGGCCAACCTTTGATAAGCACCCCTGCGTTTAAAAGCTATTTTAGAGCTTTCGCTCCCTTTCTCCAAAGCTGCTTTCCCAAGGAATTCAGTTCCTGCCCATGACACTTATTTACAAGTGTAGTGAAAAGTGCAGCATTTTCCACAGGCCGAATTGTTATCTGGTGTAAATAAAGAGAAAATACAAAGAACAATATATACATTTTAAAGATCGCATAAATGTATGTAACAAATACAATTTAAGGATTAAACCTAACAAATATGTGAAAACTAGAATTCAGACGAATAGTTTAAATAAAAAACACAGGAAAACTAAAAAATCGATACTGAATCATAATTTAAAATGTATTATTATGCAAAATGAAGCACATATATGATATATATATATATGCATGTAATATATTTAAATATATATTTATTTATATTAAATATATATTTATTCCATAAATACGCATGCATGTATATATTTTATATTATGTGTATATATGTATATATAAATTATTCATATATGCATGTAAACTTATATATGTATGTATTTAATAACTTTTTGCAAATGATTGTACATCAATGCACCCATTGCATATGTATATACATGATTTTTTTTTACTAGAACAGTGCTAAAGATGAATTGAGGATATCTGCGTAATATGTTCAATTAACGAATAAACCGGAGAGCTGTTCTTTTTCAAACGTACATACAAAGGTAAGTAACTTACATACAAATGTATGCGAATGTATGTATATGAGTGACACAAAGTGCATATGTTTGCATGTGTAACTATTTACATATGTATATGTGTCACCCTTATGTACATATACATATATACACAATTTTAGGGGTTGTTTAAGTTATTCACTTGACCGAAAAATCATTGCAGTGTCTTTATCTATTTATGCATCGATATATTTAATAACATATGTATGCAAATCAATTTGTTTTCATGCATTAATTTAATTTAAATATATATACATATATACATATGTATATAAGTAAACTTTATTTGCAGCAAAAACAAAAAACAATAAATTTTGAATTGAAACCTGTTGAAATGTTGCCATGGTGATACATTGTATACATTTTGATGTGCATGCATGTGTTGCTTTGTTTTTCTTTTTCTTAAATTGAATCCTGAACAACTTCTGTTTCTTGTCCGATTTTTATTAAATTTTAAGCGTATAAGAAATATGTGTATATACCAAATCTCAGGACATCAGTTTTGAGCAGTGAAATTTTCTCAATATGTGTATACTATAAAATAGTTTTAGAGTCTGCTTAAAAGGAAGAGTCTCAAAACTCTCGAAAGAATATGATGATTATCTCGTTTTGAGTATGGTATAGGAGAATATAAAGTTGGCTTATGTTAAATGAAATTGTTATTTTAAGAAATGTAAAAATTGTTATATTCTAGGATCCCCAATAGCTCGTTTTATAGACGTCTAAAACAGGGTTTACCAATCAAACCTACAGACGACGCTTCGGTATTAACCCTTAACCAAACCATCTCACATTTTCGTTGGGCTTGTATAATTGGCCTAAACTTATTTTTTTGGGCTATATCCCTAGAAGTATAGTTTATTTCGGGGAAGCAACCTGTTTAGACTACAGCCAGGCCCAACTGACAACAATTCATCCAGCTCGACTGGCAAACTGATAGACATGGCCTGATCGGCCTGACTGTTGATGCTGACTAAAAATATCTAGATCTTGGGGTCAAAGGTGGTTCCATATACCTGTGAAATATCTCTGTATAAATATACTATACTTTTTCCATACGCATATCACGAACCCTGGCACTGGTTACGGGCACAATTTCTTGTTATTTTCTACTACGTTTACTTATTATTATTCAATTATTCTGCTTTCTTATATGAAAGGTTAAAAAATGCATTCGGTGGGTATACACTCCGCCATGGCGATTAAGCGGCAACGCAAACGTCGTGATGAGCAGAAGAGAGCCAAGGAGCGGCGGTATAGCACCCAAAGCTCGGAGAGCGGAGAAACTTTTCATTCGCCGAGCGGATCTGTGAGACGTAAATATAACCATCCCCATCATACGGTCAAAGCCGGGCCAGGAATGTTGGATACCCAGGTTAATATAAATTTATAGGTCACGTTACCAAGTGAATGCTGAGATTTCTCTTTTAGGTCGTATCAAGTATCGGAATGCTGCACATTGGCATTGTATTTATTGTTTTTGGAGTTTTCTTATGTGGCGCTGGCATTATTCCAGATGAGGCCATGTCCTGGAACGTATTTAGTAAGCTCACTCCCAGAATGTTAACCTTAATAGGTATATATTAAAATTATGATAGGCTCCAGTTCTGCTTGGTGGAATGAGGTCACATGCACGGGCCTTTTTTCCTTCGGCTTAGGCTTATTCCTGTTGATTCTAAACTGTGTAATAAGCCGAAAAGAGGAAGAGGATCTGGAAGACTATGTGCAACGGCAGCTAACAAGATCGCGTTCAGGTAAAATATGCACCCACCTTGCAATAAATCATGCAAATTTAATACAATCTACATCATTTAAAGGACATCGACTGGAGCGCGATGTAGAAACTGGAGTATTAACTACACGACATGCGCGAAAAGCTGTCGCCTTGCAGAAAAACGGACGGAATGGCTCGGCCTCACCAACAGATGTCGCGGTCGTACATTGTAGCTCTACGGAAAATATATCTAATGGTCAGATAGTAGGGCGTAATGGTAATGTAAATTTTCGAAATATTCATTTTAATTATTTTTTAGCATAAGAACTAATTTAAGAAGTTTCTCAGGTCTAAATAATTCCGGCGATATACTGCTCGAGAAAATTGTGGAGGAGGACACACCGTACTTGAATGATCACAGTACGGCAATTTCGCCAATTGAAATAGAAAATGATACCAAACAACTTCTAAGAAGGGAATCAATAACAGATGCAATCAATATAACGCGCATATAAAATTTAGACACATACAAAAGCTATTTTTTCGAATTATTAATGTTACTGTTTAAACAATCTATTTAAAATTTCCAATAGCTCTAAGTATATATATTATGTAATCTTTTTAACTATTTTTTTAATATGACAACTACATTTAAATATTTAAATTATATTCAAGATATATACACATATAATGTATTTATTAAAATTAAATGTCAACAAAAAATTATTAAAAAAAAATACTTCTATTAATCCGAGCAAATACGCCAGGATTATAGATAAATTTACAATCTCGATTAATGTACATAAAAATGTGTAAACATTCGACTTACTGCTTTTATACCTATGTATCAATATTATGTAGTGTAAGCTATCAATAATGACTTTCTTACTTTCTTAAACTATTATATATATATATATATGTATAACTTAGACACATTTATATGTAAGTAATATTAAGTGAACTCAGACTTACACCCAAGTATTGTTTATCTTTTTTACCACTTCAATGCAAACTGCGATTATAATCATAAAATGCGTTTTTCGCCTGCTACAAACTGAACTAAAATGTATCCAAGCATAAAGGAGATATGCTTATGATAATTTTTCCACCTTTTGGCATTTATAATTATTATGATTTTTGATATTTTTCGCATTCATTTGTGATTTATATACAAAGACTTTCTGTTGGGGAACATTTGTATTATTCAAGAGGACTGTCTACAGAGTTATTGATTAAAGCTTCACAAATTAATTTGTATGCATGAGTCATTTATAATTTAAACTAGGGCTGTTACAATATATTATCTCACATTTTTATATTATCTATATAATGATTGGGCTTTTTCCAAAATGATCAGTAATATATTTTTTTGAAATTCTGAACCAGCAAAATGCACAACAAAAGAAACAAGACTATTTAAAGTAAACATTCTTTTATCTGTATATACATATGTATTTTTAGGTTTAGATATACCAACAAATTTACATCTAAGCCTAATTTTTATTGCTTTAAAACGAGAACAAAATAAATTATTAAAAAACTAACATGCCAATTTTGTTAAGAAAGTATTTAGAACTAAGCCAATTGTACAGGAATCTCACAGAAACCTCATATTACAAAAGAGAAGTCTTTCACCAACTAACTTTTGCGTTTCCTCCCGTCCTCTGAGAAGTTCAATCAACACCGCCGCCAGACAATACCCAAGGCTGGAAAGAAATATCAATAGGCATACTAAGATCGAGCTCTGTAGCCGCAAGCTGAAGATCGCCTCCGCAGAGCCTTAGCGCCCACAACCCAACAACGACCTGGCAAGCCGCCGATAAAACGAACTGACGCAAAGTCTCTGATTAGCTGCATCGGGAGCAACAAGTGCCATGGGCATGATGAGCATGTCTTCCTAACAATACGAGGAGTTCTCTTTGTGCAGGACCATTTCACTTTCCGCAAGTCTCGACTGGTGTCGCACGTTACACGTCTGCCCCCCTCGGTCGGTTTTTTGCAGCACGTTGCATCGGAATTCGCGCGAACAGCAGTCGCGCCCAGAAGCTGCTTCAATTGACGATAGTTTCCGATGGAGTTATCAAGCCGTTTCATTATTCACCGAGTCGACTGGCAGAGGACGAATCCAGCGCTGTAAAGAAGCAGGTCGATCAATGGGTCGAGCAAGGAATCGTGCGCAATTCGTCTTCAAATGCAACCAAGCATACGATTTTTCGGCCAGATTATTGAGGAAGGGCGAAGCTGGCCGTAGCTGTGTCTGCAAAAGGGTTCACTCTCATAATCCCATTTTGAACACACGCGGGATGCTGACAGTAAAATACATAGACAATACTGCATTTCCAGCATTTATCAGCATCCCAACGACTGCCTCCAAGCGTAAGTGTTGGACCCGCTTATGTGAGGAAGACCCATCACGCAACGTTTGCGTTGAAGTCAGTACATGTATATTTATCTATATAGTATGTATACTTATTCTTCATCAGCTTCAACAGCCGTGTCGATCGAATCAAAGTAATCTAATCAAACAATATATGAGTCAGATTCGGCATTATAGGGCTACTACCATATTTTTGCTTTAGGAACTAATCGGTTAGCACTTTAGATCTTGCAAACAATTATTAGTATTAAGTTTTCATTGATTAAATTTAAATTTTCTTCATATTTGGCATAACATATTACGTGTTCCAATTCAGCGTTCCGCCAATATATATATATACGATTTGTCTTTAGTGTACTGCATGCTTATCGAACTTAGCATACCGGAAAAATATTTTTTTATATTATATGAAAGCAGACCTAAAATATTTGTTTAATTAATTTTTTAACAATTTATTTATATTTATTTCTTGATTAACCGATAGTTTTCTCACAGCAAGAAAACTCCGTTTCGTTAATGCTAATGCAAAGTGATGCACTGTATCAACAATGAAATCGAATATTCGATTATTGTATCGGAACTATTTTAGCGATGACAACAATTATACTTTTTCTTGTAGATGACCAAAAGTTAACCGATAAAATGAATGTTCATAAATAAGTTTGTCAAAGCAATAATCTATTGAAGTTAAAGTCAGTAATTACTAATTGATTGATTGCGTGCGATTACGATAAAAGCCAAATTAAGTTTGTCAACGATGAGCGATGTTGACGAAACTAAAATCGATCTTCCCCCTCTTAGTTTCGAAAAATGTATGTCATTAAAACCACACAAATAATGAAGTTTACACATACACATATATATAAACGTATGAACTTGTAGGTCCAGAAAGCGATGGAGAACGCACAAAGCGAATGGCAATTGAAGAACTCATTGCCAAGAGCCCTGAGAACCGCATTCCACTCGCAGCACTGCGCGAGCTGGCACTTAGCAATTTTGGATTAGTGAACGATGACCTCAGACGAATTCTGTGGCCCCAGTTGGCAGGTGTCGATGTTAAGGATTTGGAACGAGCGCCAACTCTCGATGAATTACAAAGCCATCCGGAATACCATCAGGTTGTCCTTGATGTAAATCGGTCCCTGAAGCGCTTTCCTCCAGGCATTCCATACGAGCAACGTATTGCATTGCAGGACCAGCTGACAGTTCTTATACTGCGAGTGATTAAAAAGTACCCAAATCTACGCTATTATCAGGGTTATCACGATGTCGCAGTAACATTTCTGTTGGTCGCTGGCGAAGAAGTTGCCTTCGCCATAATGGAGCATCTCTCCACGACGCACTTCTCAGAATGTATGCAGGAAACAATGGAAGCGACACAGAGACGACTTATGTTTATTTGGCCTGTGGTCCTCTTCGAACAACCTGAACTCTTTCACTTCCTACAACGTTCTACAGTTGGCACCCTGTTTGCCTTACCGTGGTATTTGACCTGGTTCGGACACAGCCTGAATTCCTACAAAGCGGTCGTGCGATTGTACGATTATTTTCTAGCTTCACCAATGTATACGCCTATTTTCGTTACTGCCGCAATTCTATTGTATAGGGCGAATGTTATTTTACAAGAGGACTGTGATATGGCATCAGTGCATTGTCTCTTATCAAAGGTAAGTTAATTGCAAAATGTATATGAATCTTATGCTAAATTAGCTAACTTGCAGTTGCCAGATGATCTACCATTTGAGGATCTTCTAATAACATCCAGCAAATTATACGACAAGTATAGTTTGACCGTAATTGAAAAGAAAGTGGAAGAACTTATACAGCTTGAGTAAGTATAGCAGACTATTGCAGGCGGCAGCTTTTTAAATTGTTTTCATTTTCCAAACATAGGCAAGAACAACGCAAACTGGAGGAACAGCGGATTAAATTGCGACGTTCAGTTTCTTCTAAATCTAATTATAATGTAAGTAAATGGTTTTTAAAGATCTTAACCCCGAAGTCGGTTATGATGACAACGGCTGTTTCGATTGTGGTGGGCATTTGTGCATATTACTACAAGAATCAGTATTTGGCTGCAGGTATAAGCTGAGTCAGTGAGTATTTCAGTCCAACGATATTTTATGTAATTCGTTCTGAGCCCATTCAGCCTAAATGCGGTTGTATGGTTAAAATTTGCCTTTATTAATTAGCTAAGCTGAACATGCATGTAAAAATGTACATACCCAAAGTAAGTACAGTGTGGAACTCAAAAGCGTATTTGAACAACATTGTAAAAATAAAAAAGAATATGATTTGAAATAATGCATTGATAATTATTTGTTTATTACGATTGTAAATATTTCGTTATATATTTATAAAAATAGGAAATTTAATTGTATAAAAAACACTTATTTATATATATAATAAAAAAATAATAAGTAAAATAACTGATCTACGAGAATATTTAATGTATTCCTTATGATATTAATAATTTAAGTTTTTAATAACATGAGTGTGCACAGTTTTAAGATATTGTTTTTATTTCTATATAAACATTTCTACTATACTATGACAAATTATATTCAAACACAACCCCCTGAACAGATGCTTAAATAGCTGGAATACTATAATAATGCTATTAAACGGAAATCTGTTGCGTTTTTAATTGATGATTTACAATTTCACTGAAATGTATGATTCAGGGTGGACGCTTTTCGGACCTCATCGAGTCGAAGCAGCCATGTCTGTATGAAAGCATCGAATGCAGAAACTTTTAAAGCTAGAAGTTTCAAACTCGGAATATTAACTTTGCTGTCACATGTAGATTTAGTTAACTTTATTGTCATATTCAGTGTGAACCACAATATTTAATATTTGCAACAAAAATTGAGAAGTACATCCGCGGAATAAAGCTCAAGCACCTTTGTATATGATATGTTTATGTTAAAAGTAAATATTGTTATCTGGTTTATTTTTAATCATACATAAATATATTACAGTATTTCGGACATATACATATTTACAATTTCATAATTATAGTTTTAAGAATATTTAAAATTACATTATAACAACTTAGTCCCTTTTAAGAGACTTTTCTAATACTTCAATCATAGCGCAAAGTTTTTCTAAATCCATTTCAAAGAAGATAACTTCGCGATTCGAATTTGATTGGCAATGCAAATTTATTGTCGCCACTTGCCGAATATTGCATCTAAAACTACTGTCGCCCAATATGAGGCGCGTGTCCCAGGAAAATGACATCACAAACTTTACGTGATTTCTTAGGTATTCAGATCTTCCAAGAGCTAATTCGACTGCATCAAGTCTTGCCGCGAGCACCAAGGGCACAAGGGGTCTTAGCTCTGGACTCAAATAGGGCAATTTTTCAGAAATATCTGCATCCCCACCATCTGAACAACAATGTTTGTAGTACTTTGATATTGTGCGCGTAGCGAGTAGAAAATCGTCGGGATTTTGAAACCCGAACTTGTGTGAAAAACGTAGTGCCTGTTGGTCGTTGATGTTGCCAATCAAAAACTCAATAGACAAATGGAGAACCTAGTAGTAAATGAAATATGTATAAATGTTAATGTTTCAAATGGATTAATCCCTTTAGTACCTCCATAAAAATTTCTTTATTATTGATACTCTTCAATAGCTCCATATTTTGTAAGATTCAACTTGACTTGGAACTATTGTAAACAGCCAAGACCGTATTCAATCTCTAACTTTTTTGGACGCTTTAACTAAAACGAAGAATTACCCAGCTGGCAAAATATATCGATAGTATCGAATGAATTTGTATTCGGTAAACTATCGGTTGTGAATGACATGATGGCAAATTGAACATTAATAGCCTTTCCCACTTTGATGTGCATCAACAAAAATTTCATGTTATCGATAACATTAAATCAAGCTGTCCGCAATGCGCACGGATTATGCTTATCATCCGTTATATGTCTATTTTTAAGCGCCTTTATCAACAGCAATCGGGAAATATGGATTGGCCTCTAGATCAATTTGGCATCTTAACTCGGTCAAATCTCATCCGATTTTCACGAGGTTTAGGTCCTTGCTCGTTGTTTGACCTCTAGATCAATTTGGCATCTAAATCTGGCACCATTGTTCTTGGTCCAATTCCATGTGGAAATGGTACCCTCAAATCTCCTATATAGACATTGGTCAAAATTTCCCTCACCCATAACTCGGGCTAAGCTCAATCGATTTTCACGATTTTCGATTCATGTGGAAATGGCACCCTCAAATATCCTATAGTTCAAAATTTCCCACCCAAAAATCAAATTGATGTAGTATTCTATTTGTTAACGGGCAATGTATTAAAATTGATGTAAGAATATGTCTACAAATCTAGGTTAAAATATTTTTCGAACCAAATGTTATCGTTTGTTCTTCATTTTCAAGGACGACATTTGATACGCAACCATCGGGATCATCACGACGATATAATTTATTATCCGTGTCATTGAGATTAATAGCTGAAAATCTATCAAGCACTGGAGCTATTGGCAAGCTGTGGTACTGTTCGTCATCTGTACCAAAGTAAAGTCGCAATTGATGCTGTATGTTCTCTTTCTCGTTAGCGCGGTTTCGTTGAAAATCTTCCTCAACCCTAAAATATAGGAAATTCAAAAATAAAAATACATAGCTTGATTTTGTTTCTGCGTACTTTTTTAGCGCTTCAAGTTGCCCATCTAGTGACATTTTAAGTTTAGCGGGTTTCACAGATTTATCTGCATGCAATTTCTTTTCCAACAAGCGTACGGGATTATTAAATAAGAAACGTTGATGAAATGGCTTTTCATCGTCCAATTTAAGAGCCTCCTCGTTGTTAGACTGTAATCAAAATGTAACTTGTTTAATTCCAATATGTTTTGGGCTAATGAGCTAATGAGATTGTACCTTTATTGGAAAAATTGGTGTTTTGTCTTGCAGGCTTTGAGGCATATGTCGCTGTCTACTTTTGAAGTGACGACTTGTTTTGGCTGGCAGCATATTGTCTTGAGGTTCAGTTGGATGGGCTTTCAATGGACTTGGTTGATCGTGGCTGCCTGGTAGGTACATTACATGCTTTCCACCAGTTAGAAATTTAATCGATTGCGGCTCCACGGAAACCAGCCTTTGCCTTTTACCACCATGTTCCAGACTCTTCGTATAAAGCTCCGTTCCACTAATATTTTTATGAAGCATCCAATTATTGGAGCATTCGAAATTGGTAACACAATTATTTTCTAGTTGAGCATGCGAACTTGAGTTTCTTTGGTTATAAGAGGACGGCTCGGTGCCCTTTACATAATTTTCGGGCTTGGCTTTCTGCAGGCTCTTGTAAATACAAACCTTTGAATAAGAAAATAAATATATAAGCAAGAAATATCTCTAAACATGCTGTTTTTCCAGACTAACCGATTGAGCTAGGAAGCTAGGAGTTATACTAAAGTAACTAAGTCATGCAGGAGTACGCTAAAATTGATGAAATAACGGAACTTGAGGCTCGTGATCTTGAGGGATGATTAAAACTTTTCAATAATCTACCCCTTCTTGGTGAAACTAAGGAATTTCCAGAATCTTATGGCAATTGATTTGAGACGTATTTGGAAATTGATCCTCTCCTGTGTAAAAATGGGTTACAGATTGTTTCGAACCAGGATTTAAGAATGCCTTGATCAGCTTCAAACTTATTTTCAATACTCTACATAAAGACTTAAGAAATTTTTAAATAGTTATAAAACGGGTTGTCCAAATAATGGCTCTTAAATCAAAATACTTCAAAACTATTTTTAAAATTATCTTATTTTTGGAGTTGTGGGGGATTATAATTTTGCTCGAGCGAAAAATCGGGGATCCGAACAAGGCCAGAATATTCCGGCTAATTTTAATACAAAACCAAGAAAGAGGGCTTTACTCGCATTTCAGACTAAGCGATACCCTGAAGCCAACTTCGAACAATCGTAATAACATCGCAGAGTCTAAGCTGCTTATCTTCCTATCCCCACATTATCGCAAATCCATTCTTGATCAACTTTTTAGTTAATTAACATTCATAAAAGTGGCCCAAATATTAGGGGGTATTTGACAAGGACACTGAAACTTTCCTTGAATCTTATTTGATAAGCACGGAAGAGATCTTATTTCTTGAAAATGATATGATGGAAATACTATATATAGAAAAAGTAAATATTATACATACTTCGCCTGTGTTTAAATTTCCGATGCTACGAGTATGTTGTATATGCGAGTCCCTTGGAAGCGAGAGACTGAATGTGTGAACGGGCGTAACTTTATCGGGGATTACATTCTTCTTCTTGCTACCATAGAATAGAAAACCATCCTCTTCGCATTTAGACCGATACTCATCCGAGCTGGAGTCATCTTCTGTACTAAGCCCCTTGAGCTTGTCATCATGTTCATCGCCCAGATCCTGTTCAGGAGTCCACGTTGTGAGCAAGTGGTTCGGCCTGGAGAGCTGTCTAATTTGTAATGTTCGTTGGGGCTGAATAGGCGTCTCACTGGCAGGCATGCAACAATTATGATTTATGCTTTTCGATATTTGTAATTTATCTATGCCATCTTGTTGTTCGATTAGGGAACGCCAAGCCAACATGGGACTGAACGAGGGTGTCTCCACTTGGCGACGCGGCAGGGTCGGCCGAATTCGCACAAGTAGGCCATTGTCATTCAAACTCTCCTCCAGACGCGTCGTCTCCCTATATTCAATGTCATAGTTGGCAATCATTGGCAATGAGTCACTCTGGAGTTTTTCGTCAACTAAAAATATTTTGATTGGCATCAAAGTTCCGTAGTTATAAAGCAAAACAGACTTACCCGTATTTGCCGACTGTTTAAAATCGACAGGGCTATCGATTTCCATGCCAAAATAAAAAGTACGCTGACAACCTTTATCCGGGGCAGAAACAACTTCGTTTTCCAACTTCTCTTTTTGAGTTGAATTCTTGACTACAGGAGGACTATTTTTGATTTGATATCCATTACGCAACGGCGTGTTCTTCGAAGTATCGGGCTGATCTGGTTTTCGACTTCTTAACAGAATCGCATCAGAACTCTTTTCTCGCCGAAAGGGGATCTTAGAACCTTCAGTTGAATTACTTTTACTTTGAAAGCTTCTTTCTTTTATGCTTTTCCTGTTCTCATTATCTCTTTTCAATGCATCGTCTTGGTTCTGCGCCGACTTTAATGTTTGTTTGCGCTCTGAGTTTTTTGCATAATGCATGGGTTTGGCATTATCTTTTATAATTTGAGTATTTCGCAGGACGTCCTTGTTGCTCGGTATAAATGGTCTAGCTGTAATGTTCGCTTGGGGTACTTCAGGAGCTCTTCTCTTTTTTGAATACTTGTTTCGACTGCTGGGCTTTAGGGGAGGCTCTTGAGTATTACTTATTGTGACTGGTGAACTTATTTTGTTAATGAGCTCAGGTTCTGAATACGTGTGTCTTTGCATCCGAGACAGATTTGACTCATTGGCATTAAGGTCGGAATCTTTGATCTTACCCTTGATGTAAAGTAGGGTTTGTGATCGTGCGAATTCGGGCTTTGTATCAATTTTTTCATTTATGCCTGAGGTTCTATCTTTCACATTTTCGATTATAAACGTTTTGGATCGTTGACTGAGTAAATTTGGAATGTTTTGGGGCAGATTCTCATTTTGTTTCCGGCCACTTATCGTACCCCCGGAATTTAATATTGCACCATTTGAAGTAGCTCGCAGATGCAGACGCTTATCCAATTCAGGCAACACTTTAAGCGGCGTTTCTAGCGGACAGTTCGAATCTCTTTTCATGATAGTAGACGGATACGATCTTCTCCATTCAGGGTTTATGCTTCGTTGAGGATTTAGGGAAGTAGATCTTAAGCCAGATTTGCTCCATTGAAACTGACGACGTGAATTCTGGCTTAGATGCTCAAATCGTGTTTGAAAGTGCGAATTTCGATGTATAGCCGATCTTTCGCTATTTATATTATGAGCACTTCCCGAATTCCCCATTTTTTATATTTCTGGAAATTGTATATATAGAACTAGCAATAAATAAAATATATAGATTCTATACAATTCTTAAATAGTTGGCTTATATGGAGCAAAGTTTATAATATTTCTACGAACGCACAGAAGTATTATATATATGTGTGTGTGTGTTTGTATGTATGTTTGTATGTATGTGTGTGTGTGTGGGTGTATGTATGAATATATGTATGTATGAATGCATATTTGTTTTCTTATACCAAACGCAGACCAAGCTTATTTGCCGCTGTGCTGCAAATTTAAATAAAACGAATTTCTGCCAAGTGCTCTCCTCCTCGATTCTCAAGAATTCAAGTAGGCTCTGCAGTTTTGCATGCTTAGCTAGTTGTGAAGTGCATTATTTTTGTTGTTTTCTGTTGTTGTTTGTTTTCGTGTATGTATGTACATATGTAAATTTATGTGTACGTACATATGTATGAATGTACATATTTATGTATGTACATATACATGTATGTATGTATGTATGTATGTATATATGTATGTATGCATGTGTGTATGTATGTTTGTATGTCTGTACATATGTATATATGTATGTATGTATGTTTGTACATATGTATGTATGTATGTACATATGTATGCAGGTATGTATGTATGTATGCAATATGTTTGTATGTATGTGTATGTATGCATGTATGCACGTGTGTATGTATGTGTGTACATATGTATGTATGTTTGCATATATACAACAAAACCTGCATGCATATTATATTTACAAACACGCATACATATGTACATATAAATGCAGCCATGCACACAAACATAGAAACAGGCATACATCTTTGAATTCCATTTCTGCCGAGGAAGCTTGGATTCTGCAAAAAGTGTGAAACACGTCCCAAACGATTTTTCACATAGATCCTTGAAAATGAATTTGAGCGCGAAAACGTCACTCAACAAATCTTTGACCCCTATTTCCACCAAGGAGGGACGGATTTTCCAAAAACTGCGAAACACGTATCAGTACGAGTTTGAGGCCGATCGGATGGTAAGCAAAGAAGTTTCATACAAACGTTTTTCGCGATTTTTCCACGCATTCGGGTGGAATTTCCCGTCTTAACGGTTTGGGCTGTGCGTTGATCACCAATCAGTCAGTCAGTCAATCAGTCAATCAGTCAGTCAGTCAGGACAAACAGTTTTGAGTATAGATGTAACCTTAATTAAATGTGGCAAATTTATATTAACCCACAACCTTATAGTCGTTTATATTAAGAAGTTCTCAATTAAATAATTACATATTGTTGCATAGATCATGGATATGGATAGATCGGAGACAGTCTACGCAATTATGAGAAGAGACTATGAATCACAATTGGCATCATCCAGAAGGAAATGCAGGGACTACAATTAGGTATTGGGGAAGGGTTCCATTCCTTTTGTTGGGCTGAGAAAGGAATGCTATTGCCCAAAACCAAAAAACTAATTTACATTAATTTTGTATTTCATTTAAAGCGTTTATTTATTTGATTTTTTAAGAGTCATTGTCATATTTTTGTTTATTCATTTTTTATCTTATTATCACAAAAAAAAAACCATTAAATAACTTTTGTTCCTTGCTGCGGAAATTTATATTACGATCATACGGTACTATCCACATACTTTCTTATCACCTGACTTCTGTCTTCAATACTTCTATTCAATTTTAAGCTTGCTAGCCAATAGCTGGGTAAATTTAAACTAGTTAATAATTGCTGCTGTTCTATTTTAGAACAAAATCAGATCTTCCATCTCAAGAGTAAGAAGCGCGAAGCACCTAAATTGAACTGGCTCTTCTGCCATTTATATTAATTTAACATTATTCTATAATAAACACACTTCGTATCTGAGATGTTTATATAAAAGCAATGCAAAAGTGCATTTCTTTTTTGTAGCAAAGGAGATTGGTATCCAAAAAGCCAAATTTTTTTAACATATGTACATATGTATATACTTCGACATATAGTTTACGTACAGGATGTCGATTTTGATTCTAATCGATTCTTTGAAACGGGGCAAGATATCGATAATTTGAAATGAACTCGATGGAGGCGAAGGCCTTCGTTAAATATTTTATCACCTACACTCTGATATCGACATGGACACGAACGAGGAAATTAAAATTTTCAGATTTTTTCAAGATACAGTTTCTGATAATTGTTTAAAAACGAGATTAAGGCCACTGTGTTAAATACGATTTGGGCTGACTTTCGTTAGCGTCCGCTATCACCAAAAAGGTTTAGAGTAAAATTTATATAAATACATTTATACATATGTATGTATTTAGGAAAATATGCAACAAGTTTGTTTTAGGAACGATCACTTTTTAAAGCTCAATCGAGGAAAGCAAAAAAAGTTTATATGTAAATGTATACATGAGCGTGCGTACATGTTTGTACATGTACATACATATATGAACACAAAAAACAACAGACGGCTTAAAAAACACGCTGGACATATGTACGTACATATGTACATTCACCTTATTTTTAAAATACGTTTCAATACATGTACGGCACATTTCTCTTTAATACAAACTTATTTTATATTAGCTGACAGTTAAGTTGACTTACTAACGTCTAAATCAGCTAACTTTCTTTTCGCAGAAAATTACCATTTTATTCGGAAGGGCCACTGGAGTTGTATTTGCCCATGTATACATATGCATAAATATGCATAAACAAATGAACTGTTTAATAACTCAAGTAAAGTGCAGTAATATGCATATTGATAATTTATGGCAATATCGCTAGGTCTATAACTTTTAAGACTGTTGTTTTTGTAACTTTGCAAAAATCGCTTTCTGTTTTCTTTTTTTATTTGAGTTGAGTACGTAGACAACAAACACCGCAGCGAGCGCAAACGCTTTCACAACATTGATCTCCGCAGCTTGAAACTTTACTTCCATCGTCATTGTAAGAGTAGAGAGTCAAAAGCTTCTTTTTGAGTTACCAATGGGAGGCAAGTCGAATATTTATTGTTATGTTTGTATGTATGTATGTACATATGCATGTGCATTTGTAACCGGATCTTTTTCGCTCATGACGATCAGTTTGCTCAACTTGTTTCAAACCATTTTTTTTTTTTTGGCACAAGTACATGTATTTTGAAAAAGTTCAAGACAAATATTATATTTGTTAAGTATAAGGCTTAAAATATGTTCATACTGTTTATATTTACACAGATTAAAAGATCACTTCCAACATGCCAATTCAATAAATACTATTGCTAATCTACACACTATTAAAATATAAAAAAAAAACGTATTTTCTGATCTAACTCTGTGTTTTAATCCAGCGAGTAAATGCATCGATTTATACAATTGTTTATTAGATATATATATTTTCTTTATTAACAAACTGGATAGCATATTTCGTCTATGTGTAGGTGTCTGGTTTGTCTGTGCTAAAGACGGAGAACTTCATTACAGTTTCTGCTAAGATGCTGTTATTAAAATAATAATCGTTTTTCCTTCCGATTAAAGTGTCTTAGAAACCCTGCGCAGTTATGGCGCTGTCACAAATCAGCTGCTTGTAAGTAAAACAAATTTACAGTTATTTCAAAGAGAGAGCATTGAGCATTGAGCATATTCTATACATTAAACTCTATTAAATAATTATCCTTATTGAAGTAAACTTGCGTTGTTGTAGCATCTGTGGAAAAGATGTCGAAAAAAGTGTAAAGGATCGATTTGTCAAAGATGTAAGGTGTAATGACTTATAATTAAATTAGATAAATGTGTTTGTTATAGTTTCAGAACCCAAATAACATTAGAAAAATGTGGTTCGATTCGAGTTATAGGTTTATTGGTTGTTTAAAGTAAGTTAGCATTCCGAAACCATTGCCAATTCTTTAGCCATTGTTCAAAATCTAAGATAACTTATTACTACATAATTAAAACAGAACGGCTGAATCACATATGCAAAAAATTATCAAAATCGGACCACTATAACATAGATCGGTCGAATATGGCAAAATATTCTGTTTTTTTAAGTACTATTCACTATTCTGACATATCTGCAAAAATGAGTATTCAATTTGGTGTGCTGAAGGTATACTTCCTTTTTTCCTGTAAATGTAGTATATAGATAGTTGAAGCCGAGTTTTGGACTAGTATAATTCATAAAAGTATGTAGATTTGTTGAATAAACTTTTCTGATTTTTATTAAAAATAAAAAAATATAACGTTACAATTTCAACATTAAAAAAATTCTACAATTGATTTTACTAATTATAAATTGATAAAATCTTAAACCATTTTAAACTTAAGTAATTTCGTTCAAAAACTCATATTCATTTCTTGTGTAATTTTCATCATCAAAGGAACCGGTTAAGACTGAGGGCGGCAATTGACGTTGACACTGTCAGTCGGAATCGTTTATAGCTTTTTTTCTTTTCTTTGCTGCCTGTGTAATTTTATGTTTTGACCAATCCTCCTAGAATAGATAGATATATATTTTTTAAAAATATGTAAAGTCTGTTTAACAACTTTAATTTACGCTTTCCTACCTCACTAGAGTTCTCATCAGACGAGTATATTGTTTTCACAACATCCGAATTCTTTTTGCTGCCCGTACTATGGTTATTTGAGTCCTTTTTACCAACTGGTTGCTTTCGACCGCGTCCACTACCACCTCGGCGACCAACGGCAGTGGTCTCATCTTCCGCTGCCAAGGCGAAAAGATCACTGAACTGTTTCTGCTCAAAAAGTTCGTCAATATAGTAAAAAGAAAATTAGTTGGTTTGAGGGCAATTTTTACCTTTGTGCTTTCATTGCTATGTGAATACGCTGATTGTAGTGCTCGCTGCATCATATCATGAACATAGAGCCCGGTACCGGTTCCATGCCTACAACTTCTTCTATAATGTTCAAGATGATTTAATACCTATACCAAAAAAAAAAACAACGAAAATAAATAGTTTGACTAAATGTCAATTGCCACATAAGTTAACTACGCACGTGATCAGCAGATGGCGTACTGCTTGCAGCGGAGCTACCTTTAGACGGCCGCTTTCTCTTGTTGGGCGATGAACTAGGATATTTTGATGTAAGAAGGGATGCGATAATTTCGGAGAGTTTTTCTTCACAACGTTGACACCAAAACCTGTTAATAAAGCATTCAAGGAAATCATTTAAACAACAACATTATCATAAGAATTAAGTTGTGAGGTACCTTAAAGCAGACGTGACGAACGGATCCCCTCTGGTTTTCGCTTCCCTACTGAGCAAAAGTCGGATTATTTCACTTGTTGGCTCCTCATTCTTTAACAGCAGCAGCAAATGACTTAGCGCTTCGGGATGATTAGCAGCTTCTAGTTCTGGAAGTATATCCTTCAAAAAACAAAAAATTTTAAAACATATTATATTTTATGCCCTTTGTGAGATCGCAAAGGTCCCGACTTCGTTTTCGTTCAATTTTATAAGAAAGTCAATATGTATTAAGTTACGTTTGGAAATTTTTTAGTCTTAGATTCCCAAACTTCAAAATTAAGTTTGTTTTTTTTTTTTTTTGCTTGTGGATTATTAGAATTTTGACTTACCTGTATACATTTTAGAGGTACATCATGGGCCTGAATAAGCTGCCATAGGCAAAACTGTTCGTATGTCTCATACTCGAGGCTGTCCCGTATACAATCAATCAGACCGTCTTGCTTGAATATTGTCAGTTTGCCCTGCGCAATAGAATACATAATGTCACGTACGTTTTTTGCGTCAACGCAGCGTAGAGTTATTCTCAAAAGGTCCGTATTATTTATGGCTATTGTTTTGAACTCTCTGTAAATATCAGGCAGCAGCCATAAATATATTGTGGTGTTTTCCTTTTCAAGTAAATCAAGGTCTCGCACCAGACAAATGGCAATCTTCTCATCCGTGGCCTCGCATATTTGTCTATAAACTGTCGTCTTAAACTGATACGATTGCTGGGCATTCTTTCGCGTCTGCAGCTTGCAATGAATCTTCATGAAGTAGAGAAGCAGATAGCCCGTTTCACTCAACCGCTCACATATTTCAGATAGTAGGGTTTGAAAGGGCTTTTTGCTTTTGTCTTCATTCTCATACAGAAAGCGAAATAAACCGTACAGCGGATAGCTAATGCTCTTAGCCAAATACTTCTCCTCAGTTTTACTCTCTGAAAATACGTTTTGTTGTGGCAATGTTTCACGGAGTATCAAAACCGTGTTTGAGATCACATAATTGAGCTGCGTTTCGTCCAAAGTTGAGGCAGGAAGAGTACGAAAATCTTTCAAAAATGCTTCCCATGTAAAAGAGTTGCGCTTTGTAACAAATATCTCGAACGATTCGGCTATCGCGTCAGGCAGCTCTACTTTTTCGGGAACTGGCTTTTCCTTAAGACGAACCTTAAAAGAGTTTTGTATTATTAGATTATATGTAATAAGTCCAGATTGCCATCGACGCCAATACTAACTTTAGATAGTGGTAGGTCATCGTCGTCATCGGTATTTTCATCAGTTTTGCTACATCTTCCGATATTTTCTCCGTCTTCATCACTAAATACAGCTTCAGTTTCACGTTCCGAACTTTCTACAGGTGTTATAGCTATTTTGTTATCGTCGTCCACAAGTGAAATGGTGCCACTATTAGCCGCGAATGCTCCGCTTCCCAAATCAATGTTTTCTGCAAATATTTTCGAAAAATATCAACTTATCGTGTTTTAAGTATATTTACAAGAACATTATTTACCACTCTGCATCATCCGCTGATCAGCTTCTTTTTTAAATATTGGTGCCTGGATTGAATGTGTTGCTGGATATATGGTTTGTGGCATATTTGCAACGGGGGTTACAAATTCCCTAAAGTTTTCCCGAATTAAGTTACGTAATTCTCTGTCAAGTTTCGGCGATTCAAATAGCGGGTGTAAGTTTGGAATGACCTATTCAAGAAATTAGCGACTGTTCAGCAATTATCGTATTATGCCAGCTCTTACCTGTTTATCGAGTATCAGTTTTAATGAATTATATACACCCAACCTAATTTTGTCCTCGTTCTTTATATAAAAGTTCTTTGTGATGCGGCACAAGAAATCCAGCAGTGTGCTGCTGACAAAAGGATGATTCCGTATAGAGTGGTACATCACTAAAATGCCGGGCTCAATATTCATGATGTTATCCTTCGCCGGATCGAAAAAGAGCCAATCGTAAAATAGTGACAGCTTGGCATTAGCCGATGCAATTGGGTTTGTACATGATGAGATAAGCCAGCCAATAATTGCCCATCGCGGGATAATATCGGAGCATAACATGTCATTTGTGGGATGAATTACGTTTATAATAAAGCGAATCAGGTCAGACCGCAGGCTGTGCGACTCGGGCGTAGCAAAATATTTGTCCTGAAACCAATCCTGGTAGCGCTTCTGATTGCCAAATTTTACGGACGAAGCTAAAAAGTGCAGCTTACGCTCCATTTCAGGAAGTAGCCGACATTGTAAAAATCGCCGACTGGTACGTATTTGTAATAAATGCCAAATCCCGTTAAATGTCGGATGTAAGCTTTTCGGATTGCATAAGATATCTCGCCATAACAGTTCGAATTCCGGAATGCGTGCAACATTTTGTAAAAGCCTGCGGGAAAATAACAGAACAAAACAATTGTTAAAATCTTTTTAATATCAAAATGATTAAGATAATTCTCAGCAATAAAGACACAAAACAATTTGAATAGTAAAATATATTGAGAAAAAAACTATGGTCGACTCACCGTACAAAATCTCTTCCCAACGGTATAATATCTTGAAATCGATCCCGAATCAATGATATTGTAAACTTAACCTCTTTTTGACGCAGTGGCATCAAGGCAGGATTGGCATGGTCCTCTATAAGGCGTACAAAACTGTAAACCGACGACTGTACTAGGAAAGGAATGGCTTCCAGCCACGCCCTATACTCTATGAAAATATCCAAAAGGCTCTCCACGAGAAACAGATTTTTATGGGAGACGTCCCCACCGCCGGCTTGACGCAAACAATTCCAAATCACATTTTCGACACTAAGAACCTGGTGCTTCACAAATTCACGCAACACCCAGATCAGT